CAATATTATTAACATTTCCTGAAAAAACTATTTCATTTATTCTCTGGTAACTTTACGTTTGATAGTTGGTTTGGACATCCAGTAGGTGAAGAATCTTTTATAAATTTGAATTTAAATTTTTTAGTTTTAATAAGAAAAAAACTGTTAAGTAACTCATAAAACTGGAACTTCTATTTTTACATTTCTCGGAGACAACTTTAACATATTTTTTACATAGAAAATATTAAACAGTGACCAGTTATCCATGTGGTACACGGGTCACTTAGAAGAATATCCCCACAGTTTCTCCTACCTGTCGTGGAAGATGACTAAATGGAGAAACAATCCCGCTCTTGTCCGGTCGCGACCGCTAATTCGTGTAAGGCGAGCGTGACGGAGCAAGCTAGGGACTGCTTATCAGCTTGGAACCTGGCCTGGGAGATAAGCACTCACTAAGGATCTCAAGCGTTTCCAAATACCCCTTTCCATGGCGGTCACTAACACCTGTCACGTACAAATCCTCTCCTCCCCCTTCTTAATAATCCCAGCAATCTCGTAATCTAAAATGCCAAACACTGTGTTGAAGAATGCATCACCACACGATACATGGTCTTGAATGGTTTCCATCGGATACCACTCAGTGGGCACTCGTGGGAACAGTATGGAACCAACAGTAAAAATAAAAGAAAAAACGGAAGTTCAGGAGGCCGGTAGAAGTAACCCTGAAAAAAACTAAAGCAGGAGAAGAACAGATCCTTGATTGCCCTCAAGATATATTCAAGGGGAAAAGGAATAGACTAAGTAGGGCGGCACTGAAGCAGTTACAGCAGCGTCTGAATGGGGAACACTCTATGAGGAAGCTCTAGAAGAGACACTATAAACAATAAAATCTCCAAAAGAGAAAGAAGGGAATAAATACTCTTCTACCAAAACTTCTGGGAAAAGAACCAGGTCAGATGCAATCACCCCTGAGAGTGTGAAGATGGAACGATCCCGACCGTGGAGATGAATTACAAAGCTGCAACTAGTGGAATCAAGGTAGGAATAATCCACCCTTGTACCCAGTATAACTAATAAATAATGATAATCTTAAGAGACTGCAGAAAGCCATCCTACAAGCCGTCGAGGATTTACCCGAAGACAGGCCAGAAATTAAATTCTATGGCTGCTTCATCGGCCAGGATCGCTTCAGGTAGCATGTGTGGATAACACAGGCTTTAAGTATCTAATTGAGGCGACTGAACGACTTAACCCTGAGAAGCAACAAAACTTAGGCAATCGAAGGGTCTGACCTGCTCAAAACTAAGATATGTACTGCATACATACCTAGCGAAGAAAAAGATATCTCAATGCTGACAAAATTTTCATCTGACTAAGGAAGACGGGTTCTGAGGACGCAGAACTGGAAAGTACTCTACTTTGAGAAATCTGGTCCAGGAAATACCTGGACTTTCTCAATAGACGATCCATCTATTAGACGAGGGCTTTGGAAAAATTAAACTTCAGGCTTTTCTTTGGATTTGGTAAGATCATCATCAGACCAAAGAAGAAAAGCCGAAGAAAACGGAAGCAAGAGGAGAACGGTCAAACTCTCTGGAAACCTTAAGCGGTCAGGCCACAATGCCACTAACCGCGAAAACGAAAGAAGAAGCAAATGATAATCCCTCTAGTGGAGGCAAAAGTGGAGCCAATGAAGATGACTCTAGAAAAGGGTCTATGGAGAAAGACTCTCCAAGAGGAGACAATTTCATACAGGTGAATCTTCAACATCCCAAGGCTGCTGCATATACCATTGACAGAAGATTCGCAAATGAAGCTACAGATGTAGCACTAATCCAGGAGCCTTGAGTTACTGGTACAGGCCGAATTGGCGGCCTAGGATCCATCTCAACTAAGGTAATATATTGCTAAAATGGGATAAAACCCAGAGCATTTATTGTACTTGGGAAATAAATTAATTCCATCTTAGTTTCAAGTTTCTGCACGGAAGGTGTAATTGCAGTTCAAATCACTATATGAGACAAAGTGGGCAGACGGGTTATAGTCGTATACTCGACATACTTCACAGGTGATATAGCAGCAACAGATTCCACTCCTATGGGGATTCGAAAAAGAATCGGACACTGTAAAAAGTATGGACTACAAGTCATCATCGTTTGTGATGCCAACTCACACCATACGGTATGGGGAAGCATAAGTAGCTATAAACGAGGTGAGTAATTTTTAACTATATTGTCGGAGGAGGGCTCATAATAAAGATAATCAACCTACCTTTATCAACAAGAAAAAACAGGTTATTGATATAACTATAAGTATTGGACAAATTAGCAACAAAATTGTTAACTGCCATGTGTCGAAAGGGCCGTCAAGCTTGGATCACCGACACATTGACTTTACCTTATGTACAGCTAAACCATTTTTAATTAGCTACAGGCAATGAAATGAACAAATTGGGAGGGGCATAAAACCCATTTGGAAGCAAAGATAGGAAATACAATTAGTCATATCAAAACATGTTTAGATATTAAAGAAAAACTTGAAAATTAAGAAAATAAGGTAGCAGGCAATCGAATAAAGCCAAATAATTGGGGAACTGGGAAACATACAGGGAAACTCTTACTGAATCCAAAGAGAAAAAAATCTTGGAGGAGGTTCTATCAGAGTATGTCAGATATACCTGCCAGCATCCGAATCCACAAGATTCTTTCCAAAGATCCGACACAAGGAATAGGCCTACTTAAAAGACGCGATGACACCTTTGCCGAATATAAACAGAAAACGCTACAGCTCTTACTAAATAACCACTTCCCAGTATCTGCGATTATTGATGAGTAGACTCAGGCTTAATATCGAGAACGACATAAACGTCCTAGAAAAGAAGACTGGAAATTATTTGCAATAAACGTCAAACCGGAGAATGTAAAGTAGGCAATAAACCACTTTGCACCGTTTAAATCTCCATAGGAAGATGGCATATTTCCTGCACTATTACAAAAAGGATTGGAGATCTTATTGCCTATTTTAACGAAGATGTTTAGGGCTAGTATAGCAATAGTTTATATACCAACGACTTGGGCAACTGTAATGATGGTGTACATACACAAAATAGTACAAGACAATGCCTTACCTAATTTTAAACCGAAGGAAGAAAGAAAAACTAAACAAGTTGAATATTTTTCAGCGTGCTCAAAGACTTCTAAATATAATAAACCCAACATCTCTAACGGTAGGGAGAAGAAGAGCAATAGAAATTATTGGAAAACGATCTAATTACAACAACGGATGTATACAAAGCAAAAATAAAATTGCAATAAGGAGGCATTACCTGCTCCAAAAGCACTTCTGACATTATTCTGACAGAGCATCGTCCATGGTGTTAGTCTAACCGGACAAGAGCACGACTATCTCTCCGTTTAGTGAATGCCTTCATTTGCCTTTTATGACAAGCAGGAGAAAAACTGTGGCGATATTCTTCTTCACACGGGAATAAGGATGAGTCTTAGCTGTGAATTTGGTCAAGCGCCAGACAATATATAACAACAGATGTATAGCCTTAGTACAGGTGTATCTTAATTTTTTGAAATCGATTTTTGGAGGGAAGTTTTAACGTCAAAACAAATATAAAATTTAATTTTCATTACAAGTAAGGATGGCTTAATCCCCAGTAAACATAATTTTCAATGTCATTTTTCTAATTATTAAACGCATGAAATTTAAGTAATCATCAACTTTTCTGAACTTTTAAGTAAATTTTCTTTCGATAAGAACTTTCTGCAAAGTATTAGAAAACTGAAAAAAAAGTAAATGAAATCGGTAAAGTTCAAGTCTCAGGTGATGACAGATAATAAGGATTCATTATATATATATATAATATATATATATATATATATATATATACTTAAATATATATATATATATATATAATATATAAATATATATATATATATATATATATATATATATATATATATATATATATATCTTTGCAGATAAGTTAAATAGTAAACTCTAAATAAATTATAATTAGCTACCATATAAGTATTATCTATTAAAAAACATTATTGGTCTTACCGTAACTTAGAATTGTAGAGTTAGAATGTTAAAAAACTTAGCTAGTAACAACATAGTGGTGTTTTTTGTTACTATGTACAAAAAAAGTTTTTTTAATGTTGGAAATGTATGGTAGCGTTGAACTTAAAACGCAAAGGTTTACCCAAGGTTAATCGAAAAACCCAATGTAACAGTTACATTGGGTTACAAAAAAAGGGTGCTTCTATATATACAAATCTACAGTTACATTGGGTTACAAAAAAAAACCAATAAAAAAGTAAACTCCGTGCCAAATAGGCACAGAGTAATAAGTCTCATGTAATAATATATCCGTAGAACTGTAATCAATCAATCAATCAATTTCTCACTTCATTTTTATGTCCTTAAGTACTAGTATGGTACTGCTGCTACTTTTGATCAGATAGAAGCAATGATAGGAATATGTGGGATATATTTTTCTTTTAGTATTTTTAAAAGCACACAGCAAAATTCCTTGTTTCACTGTTTACAAGCATTTCAAGCAGTACTACAGTGTATATTTTTTTTATCTGTAAGTATCTAGCAGTGCATCTGTTTACTTGAAACTTGCGTAAATAGAGTCAATAAGGTACACTTAAGAGAAATTATTCATTTTCTAATTTTTTTAGTTCTTTTGCAGCAAGAAGTTGTTACATATATTTACTGAAAAATTGACCTGTTCATTTTACTTTTTACAAAAATTTAATACCTAATGATTACAAATATAAAATGTAATTTTAATAATTTTATACAAAACATATCGTTTCTATTTTTTTCCTACTTTGCCGTAGTTTCGTTTTTTTTTTTGTTTTATCTTAAAATAACAGGAACATATTTTTTTTTATCAACAAAAGAAAGGAAAAATACCTTATAAAACAAAGGAGACCAAATAGGAGAAATAGATTCAAAAAGGGAAGACTGACTCAGAAATTAAGGAAAAGTGGGAAACTTACCAATATTTTTTTATACAAACTATCAATGTTTGTATCATCAAAGGGCAAAGCACCTGCGAGCAAAGTATATAACAATACTCCCATCGCCCACACATCAACTTCTGTACCTAAATACTGTTTACCTTGTACTAATTCTGGTGCAGCATAAGTTGGGGAGCCACATGACGTGTACAAAGGATTCTGCATACCTCCATCAGGTTTTGCACACAAACCAAAATCTATTAACTTCAGATTTTGATGTTTATCTAATAAGATATTTTCCTAAAAAAGGAATACAAACAAAAAGTCATCAACAAAAACAACAAATAGTAATAGACTTAAAAATAGAGGATCCCACCTGAAATAATTATTGTAGGCTAGAGTTCCAATCTGCTAAAATTTTAAATTTATGTAATTCTGTTTAGTTTTCATCTTGTATTATACCTCCTATCTTATACTTTTTCTGTTATCTATTTTAACTGCTTGATCAGTACTCAATTTATCAAAGTATTTCTTTTTATTAGATACATCCTAAACTTTCACTTACATACAACTGCTCTGGAATAAAGTCATATATTTTACATTTAACTTTCTTGGTTATTTTTAGTTTTCATGCTCTTCTCAGCTACTATTTTTTGATAAACTTTCTTAAATTTTTTGGCTAGTAACAAATTATTTCACAATTTGATATAACTATTCATTGATACTTCTATGTTGGAATCCTGACGAAAACCTAAAGTTTGATTTAGTTTTTCTAAATTTTAATTTAGTTTTTCTCCTTTGTTGCATAACACCTTCTCCTAAGGTTTTATTCTATTCATATATTTTTTAATCACTTCCATTTTTTAAGTTGTTTTTCAATTTATTTTATGATGCCACAATTTTATAAAATAAAATTTGGTTTGCAGATCAGAGTGTTTTTTAAATTATAAAAAAACTATTTAGGAGTATCTAATTAGTCCTACATCATTATCTTATTATAATCACTTAATAAGTTTCCTAATCTTATTGGCATAATGACTTGAGTATATTATGGTAGGTGGTACATAGTTTATGTATCTTTTATGTATTTCCCAGTTTTTTTTGCATATTTGTTTTAGGTACCTCCTTTTATCTTTATTTCTATTACTTAACATATGGACAACAAAAATGTATTTTCCTGTGAGTTTAAACTATAATAACATAGTCTACGAAAAACAAAAATATTTTATTAGTTATGCTTAACATCTAAGTAAGCGTCTATATTCTTTGATCTAAGTAAGGTAAATGACCAGTCATTGTCACTATAAGAAAGTTAAAGCTAAAAACCATATAAAGCCAAAAAACCAATAATTGCCACACAATTTTTCAAAATACCAATTATTGCCACCCAGTCATTGCCATACAGAAATAACTCTACATTTTACTGAAAAATATTGTTTATTAATAAAAATTCCACAGGTTTTAGGTCTCAAATACATCCACTGGCAAAGTAAATTGATAACGAATCCGTTCACCAGTGGATAAAATAATAGGGGTCGGCGGTATGCCTAAAACGCGATTTTCGTTAACAAAGTAGATGTATTTTTCATCACAAATAAAAATGTTCTTTTCAGCACTAACAGATTTCATAGACATTACTTGTACATCAAAAGTGTCCATAAGGACTTGGATAATACAAACATATCTGTATGTTATGGATTTTTTTTACCACCTAGGAATTTCACAAGTACATGGTTTCCCACACTATGTGGTTAACAAGTTCTCCGTGAGTTAATGGGCAAAATTCTTTGTTAGGGTCATCACAAAAGTCTATGTCATCACAGCTGCTACCACTCTCGACCCAGTCTTCATCCTTTCCATCGTCATCAGAAATATCCCGTTTTAGCTTCCCTTTCAATAGACATTCTTGCTCTCTTGCAATTTTTCTTTGGTTTTTTCTTTTTCTTTCTTTTTCTTTTCATTTTCTTTTTTCAAGTGATATTCACGCCAAGCTTCTGATTGTACCACGGATGGAATCTTTTCCTTTAGTTTTATCTTCTTTGTCTGAGGTTTTGGGTCTGGCCAAAACAGTGCTTTCTTAAATGGGGTAGGAACTTTGCATAGACTCTCCAAGTGTACTATGTGATGTACTTGGTTCAGGAGTAGACAATATATCTGAGCTATGAGTATCAGAGATATTTGGTTGGAAATTTTTTACTGGTGTGCAGTTGAATTGGAAATATGGTAATATTGTTTTGGATGGTACATTTAATTTGTGTTGGTAGTGTTTCCATTGTCCATTCTTTCCATATGTCAAAAAGGGATTTATCCTCAATAGAACCATTCCAATCCTGATTTTCATTTAAAGTTACCTTGAACCTATTTAAAGTTTCTTCACCCGGCTTTCCTTCAAAATACTTAAGTGCTTAAGTGACACTCTTTGTGTCACAAAGCTTGTCAAAAACAAGTGAAACCATTTGTCACTGGGACGGCTATGAATCAATAATTTCTCTCTTTCTGTAGAATTTATTATTTTCTGAACTGTATCCAAAAGCTGAACTTTTGAAACAGGAAAATGTCTTTCTGATAGATGTAAAATCCATTTCACTAAGACTGATTCATCTTCTTTGGTTAAAATTGTAAAAAGGTTTATAGAACAAAATAATGGTGACTTTCAATCTCTCTTATGCCTCAAAGTACTAAGAGGAACTCCGTGAATTTTTGCTGCTGTAGCTGCTGGGATTCCCTTTTTCACATTCTCTAGGGCTTTGACCAATTGCTCTTTCGAATAATTCCGGTTAGGTGCCATTTCTGTAATGAATAAAATACTTGTAATACCAAATATTAATGTAACCAATGATTGCCACTTTAGAACCAGTGATTGTTACCACTGGCAATAATTGGTAAAAGTAAAGTTTTTGTAATAAAAAAAATAGTGGCAACACCGTAATTTTAAATAGTAAATTTACACATTATAATGAATTAAAAATAAGCCAAACCAATAATGGCCACTAGTGGCAATGACTGGTATTCATAAAATATTTTGTAACCAGTCATTGCCAGGTTTCTTTAGAAATATGTACCCTTAACTGAATTTAAACAGCAAACAAACATAGTTTAGAGTATTTAAGAGGAGCACATGTGTAAATAATTTTATAAAACAATCATTTACAAAAGTGAATAAGAAAAAGAAAAATGTACTTACCTTAATTTTTTCATAAGAAATCACAAAAAATAGGAAGAAATTTTACACAACACTACTCTAAGGAGTATACAACAAAAATGGTTGATGCTTGGGTATTGTACAACAGTATACAGTTGCCAAACTTAATAAGGTATTAGTACTTACAAAAAATATAATTTGATTTCAAGTAATTTTCTTATTTTCTTAGAATTTAAGGGTCAGTGGCAATAATTGGTAGAGTGGCAAGGACTGGTTGTTTACCTTATAGAAGAGATTCAAGAATAAATAAATAATCAAGCAAGATTTTTCATATGAAAATATATTTTGTTCATTTAAATTTTTAAAGAAATGGAAAATTCATGGTATATATATATACATTCGGTTTTATAACGTCTTACGAGGTTGTCCGACTCCCAACCGCCACTGTATTTGGTCTTGAGTTAGGTCTTCGTCGAGATTTCGAGCGCTAATCGCTTTCCTAACTCCCAGGTTCCAGCTCTGTGGTGGTCTTCCTCGTTTCCTCTTCTCTGGGGGTTGCCACATCATCGTTTTTTTAGGCAATCTTTCGTCCCCCATTCGGCTCACATGTCCATACCATATGAGCTGTTTTCTCTCAATATCCTCAACTATAGTGCCCTCTATACCCATTTGTTGTTTTATCACTTCATTCATGGTTCAATATCTAAACCAAAAGCAGTATTGGGATTTTAAATACACAAATGAGTGTCTGGCAAATTATTTAAAAACAGATTATTTAAAAATAGCACAAATCTTTCCTTATATTTATCTCAAGAATCTAGTCTACTGTATGTGATAAGTGTGAATGGTGGTTGAAAAACTATTATTATTGGTTATTAAAATAAATTTTACTTACGGGCTTAAGATCTCTATGAGCATATCCTAAACTATGCAAATATGCTACAGCTGAGACAATTTGCCTAAAGAACATTCTACTCTCCGATTCTGTTAAACGATTTTTCTCTACAATATGATCAAACAGTTCTCCTCCTGAGCAATATTCCATAACAATAAACATATGTGTCTCTGTTTCAATTACCTAAAACATAGTATACTAGCAGTAAAAAAAAAATGTAAAATAAAAAGCCTGATGAATAAAATGGTAGGTTTATTTATTAGTACTAAAATATTTAAAAATAACAAATAATGAAAAACATAAACTTCTCTTTCTCCAAATTGTATTGGCAGAACTTTTTTAATTATTTTTACCCTAAACAAACTTTACTCAGATGTTTCTTTCTCATCTTTTAATATACACCATTTAATTTTTTTTAAATAAATGTTCAAAATTATAAGGTAGTTAAAAGTAGTGAGGGAAGAAGCAAAAGCTAAAGCAGAGATGTATAAAACTAATAAATGTCAATAAACTTCTTATTACTATTACTATCACATAACTATTAACCAGAACTTTGCAAGGTAAAAGTAATGTATATCAAATAGCCAAACCTAGAGCTAATAATGAAAAACTTTTAATGAGACTAGATCTGTCAAGAAGAAAATCATAAAATACTAGTGCAAAAAAGTATCTAAAAAAGCAAAGGTAACAATACTCTTAAAGGTTTAGTAAATGAAAAATTTGACAGAAAACCTGTTAAAATCAATGAAAATAATACAAAAAAGTAAATTTGATGGATCATATTATATAGTATCTCTAGGAAAGAGTACATGACATGAGGGCAGATATGAGAAGAGTTAGTTAAGAGGTTTGTTTAATAAAATTATGGAAGTGGGAAAAATACAAGGCCATTTAAGAATCATTATCTTAATAACAACGTCTGAATACAGACACGGCACTGAAAGAAGAAGAAGATCTTAATAACAATGTACAAAAATAAATGAGATGTACAGTAATATAGTAATGCACTATGAAGGCAGTGTGACATTGAAAATATCAGTTTGGATTTGTGCAAGGCAGATCAGTAACACATGCAATTTTCATTGTAAGGAACTGAATGGAAAAATATACAAATAAAGAAAAAAAAATCATATGGTATTCATGGATCTTGAGAAAGTATGTGATAGTGGCCTTCTAGAAGTTCTGTAGTAAGAACTCAATATAAAATATAGTTTCCAGTGAGTATATGAATACTGTAAGATATGTATGATAAAGTAACAACTGATGATTAAGGTATGTGTAACAGAGACTGATAAACCTTAGGTGAAAGTAGGATTTATGACAAAAAATGGGAATGTGTACAGTAAAGTTAGATCAGCAGGAATTAAAGCTGGTGAGAGGCGGTAGAGTAGCACGGACTTATATAGACATGGTGACATAGCACATTTTTTTAAAGTCATTTTTTCAGTACCTTTTCCCAAAATTTACCCATTAGATCAATTCTACTATTAAATCAAACCTATATAACCCTTGATAATAAAAGGAATATATGTGTGTTGAAATATAATTTTATTTTATAACTTGCATTACCTAAAATTTTTACATCCTTCATCAATTTACTTTAGTTTTTCTATTGAGTCATACCTGTTTCCCAAATTTTTTTAATCTAGTCACAAAAATTGAATTAATCGAAATGTCTCTTGTAAATGATTTGTTTAACTTGAAAATAGAAAATTCTTATAAATTAATTTTTTCTTCTGCCTTTCTCAAAATGAAAATTAAAATATATACCTAACCATACAATTTGAAGTAGAGGATTTCAAAATCATATTGACAGGATTTTTGAGATGCTTTCCTGGGATGACTTTATTGGAAGATAGTTCATTTGATTTTGATACCAAATAAATTCAAGAGTACTTGCTTTAGTATGGAATCAACTTACTTCATATAATTTGCAAATATTTTCATGGGACACAGTTTTTAAAGCACTTATTTCCAACTTTACTCTAGCCAAATCTGCTCCAAGTAAAGCTTTATCCATGATCTTTATAGCAACTTTTTCTCCTGTAGCTAAATGTGTGGCTAATTTTACTTTGGCAAAACCTCCACATCCTATCGTCCTTTCAACTTCATAGAAACCTTTCAATGCTAAAAACCTAACCATCCTTCTATATGTAATTGAACTGAAGCCAGTATTTACGGTATATATGCTAAAAATTATTATTTATAAGAGGATCTCGTAAACCATTATATTTGTATAATTTAATGATAGAGTTTATAAACACTTGGAATAACGAGCATTCTATATTATTTGAATTCAAATTGACAATTGACACTGACAACTAGTGAGAACGTGAGAAGAAAAGTGACGTTAGACAGATGTCTTCTGGTGGGTTGTTTGTAGCAATGACGTATAATATATAGACTACGCAGTCCCCTATTCTCGCTATAGAATCAAGTGTCCGAAAGATCTCGGCTCAAGATTGAAGGTATGTTTATCACAACAGCGGCGTGCTCATTTATATGTTAATGACAATAATTATTTTTTTAATTAAAATTAAATATTTATGATTTCTTTTTGTTCCCGTCTATAAGAGAAATAATTATTTTGATAAAATAGTATGGCATTTTACTAAAATAGTAAGTAAATAACTATCAACAATTTAAAATAAAATTTGCTTGTCACACAAAATGGAGTACGTCCATGATGTTTTCAAACACAAGATCAACTTCGTGATGCTTCGTAAGAAATCATGAACTTCGTGCATCTTCGTATCAAAACAATAAACAATAACAAAGGTATTCATGTTTTGGACACTTTTTAAAGCGTTCACCGAGTCTATATATTATACGTCATTGGTTTGTAGTGTATATTGATGATCTATGGTCACAGCACAGATTATTCAGTGTATTATTGTTTATTATTCTGTGCTATGGTCAAGGTTAATAAAAATCAGGTTGCATGGTAACTCTGACATTGACAGAATGAAATATGTCACCGAGACGTCACCCAGGTCCCAGGGAGACAAGCGTCTATTCATACCTTGTTACAATTGGATACAATTCGTCTTCGATGCTCGCGCATCCATGTAATTTCAAATATTAGGTTTACGAGATTTGATTTGTTAATATTTTGAAATTATAGACTACTTAATGATTTCATTCGTTTAAATCAGAGTCAAAAATATTGCCTCGATTTTACTAGAATAGGTCCATTGCGATTTCCGCAAGTGGTATGGTCCTTAAGTAATTGTACAAAAAGTAGCCGTAGATTCTACACTTTAAAATATTACGATTTAAGCCAAATTGCTTGTTGATATTAAGAAAGATACACGGTATTAAAGTGGAAATTTATCATTTTAATTTTCCCTATAACTTTCATGTTTGTGCTATAACATTTATATATCAAATTTTATAACTGGATACTATTGAATATTCGCTCCGATTGTTAACAAACTGTCAAAGCAAAATCGACTGACCTGCTCATAGTGGCGATTGCTTGAAATTTTTTCAGGACGCTATTGTGCATGGTACAATGTGGGTACAATGAACGAATGAACATATTCATTGTACCATGGATGTTGATCATTGGTTGATCATGTATATATAACCTCACTTTCGTAGATTATGTTAATAAATCTTTATTAACGACAAAAAATATTTTTGTTGGACTATAAATGTCACTATAAATAGATAACTAATTAATTCTAAAAATTGTATCCGGATATTAACACTACAAAATAAAATATTTAAGTTTAACAAAATAATCCCATAAGACCCAATACTAAAACCTCCTCACAAATCTGTCAGCGTGTCACGTGACTGTAAATAGAGGGGAGACCCACAGAGCGAATCAGAAATTATAATTTGATGCATATTTTAATGTAGTTGATAGAGAGCGCCACATATGTTGCATATATTTGCACTTAACTTTTTTGCTCTTTAAGTTACCGTTGTTTGTGATAAAAATATTAAAGATACATACATTATTTTAACAAAATCAAGTACATAATTTAGATTAAACGCAATTACTCCAGGCAACGAAAGAAAATTATACAAAAACATCAATACTTTTGAATTTTGGTGTAAAATGCATTTAATAAAGTTAATAGTTAACGAAATATTAAATAAAATAAATATATCAGCAGGATTGTTAATAGTAGGATTTGACAAAATAACAATAGTTGGATTTTACATGATACTATGATAAGATATTGCGCATAAGTCGTGACGTCATTGGAGAGTTGCACGTTCGAAATGTCAGTTTTTTGTACGAGTCAATAAATAATCTTTAATAAATAGTTTGGAGATATCCTTATGTGTACGATTTGTAATTATTGAACCTCTTAACTTATTTTCGTCTAGTAATTTCATCACAGAATGCATACAAATCACATTTAACTTTAACAAGAATTCAAATCCTACTCTCCAATGACGGCATGCGCGAACACGACCGATTTTGTGCTACGGGAAGATCCTATCTTGTTATTCATAATATCATGGGATTTTACTTAAAATATTTTACTGTAGCAAGGATGTCTTCAATTTCTTAAGATATAAAAATAAAACACAAACATGGTTCACGCAACTTTATTCCGACCTCCGGTCTTACAACCTTCTTGTCGTCTATCAACTGTCAGCTGTCATTACACCTTGACAGAACATCAAATTTTAAATTAAAAAAAGGCGGTAACAATAAGAAGCCTACAGCTCGGCCAACCGACAACAAGAGCGTCCTCGCTCTTCCATATACAAAAATAAACTATTTGGAAGTACATAAAAACATAACAAAATCATAACATTCATAATTATTTGCTATAACATATCATTTGTCATAAACTGTCATTGAAAGTACATAAACATGACAAAAATCATAAGATTCATAAATATTTGTCATGGACATACATTATCATATAAACACCTTTCAGGAATTATTCCTCATAAACGTAATTCATCATAAGTATAAGTTCTTAATTGTAGACATAATGGGTAATAATAGATATTAATTGTTATGCGCAAATATAAGCTGTAGTTGCTAAACATAAAGTAAGTAATTCAGTATAAACAAAAATGTGACTAAAATAAGAACCATAATATCAAAGCTTAAAATACTTAAATAAAATCTAAGTTCTATATGGATAAAATCCATAACTATTAAGTCGTAGAGGAAGACTTAGTTTAGTCTGATGATTTCATCCATAATCTGAGATGATCAGCATCAAATACACCTTCGAATGGTTTCTGAGTCATCTGAAACCCCTCAACATCAGAAATTAGATATCTGTCATTAGGTAATATTTTCTTAATAATATAAGGTCCCTTAAATTTAGGTAATAGTTTCTTATTTACACCAGGTGTAACATCAATGTTAGGTGTCATGACATAATCACCAATATTATAAATTGAAGCTTGTTTATGTCTTGAATCATAATACAGCTTGTTGACTTCTTGGGAATTTTCTATCTTGTCACTTGCATTATGTCGTAATTCGTTAATATCAGACTTGTCTTTGTTAATGGATGACAGAAAATACTTTAAATTATCTTTGACATTACCTACTTGGTTCATTCCAAATAATAGCTTAGAAGGTGTCTGACCTGTAGTTCGATTAACAGTGTTGTTGACAGCATATTCAACTTCATTAAGTACTTGATCCCAACATTCTGGGCCCTTGGTTAGTTTCGCTATCATTGGTATAATGAACCAGTTGAACCTTTCAATTTGTCCATTGGCTCTTGGTACGCTCTTGGTAGCTACAAGAACATGCTGTATTCCATTATCTTTTAAAAATTTAGTGAATTGTTTGGATGTAAAAGCTGAGCCTCGATCAGTGACTATTTTTAAAGGTTTACTGTAAGTAAAGAAGTATGGGTTTAAATACTTAATAACCTCATTACAATTAGTTGACTTGCAAGCATACAATTTCAAGAATTTGGTAAAACCATCTACAATTGCAAAAATATGCTTATAACCAGTTCTTTTAGATTTTTCAAGTGGTCCACAATGATCCAAATGTAAAATATTAAATGGTTTGTCTCCCTTTTGTATGTTGTGTAAAAATCCTTCCTTTTTACCACTGTTAGGAGCAAATACAATGCACTTCAAACAATTTGTAATATAAGTTCTTACCTTTTGTCTCATATTAGGAAACCAGTAACATTATTTTATGGCTTCACAACATTTATCTAAGCCCACATGTCCTAATTCATCATAGCAACTCCTAATCACATTGTTTTCCATTGATTCAGGTACATAAAATAGTAGTAAATTACTACATTTTCTATAAAGTATGTCATTGTTCATCTCAAACAACTTATGCTCACTGGATTGTAACGTCTCCTTTAAGTTACATATAATATCATCTTGCCCTTGTTTAATAGCTAAATTATGTTCAAAAGTGTTTTCCTCGATTATTAAAATACTTCCAAAGCACCTACTTAAAGCATCAACATGCTTCATGCTTGTTCCACTTCTGTGTTCTATAATATAATCAAAATTATCAAGAATGAGACTCCATCTCATAATTTTAGGGCTAACATCTTTCTTCTGTAAAGCTGTTGTTACACTATTACAATCTGTCAGTATCTTAAATTTAATTCCATATAAGTATACTCTAAATCGGTTAAGTGTGTTGATAACGGCTTTTAGTTCCAAAATAAAACTATGCTGTTTAGATTCAGCTTGCGTAGTTCTCTGACTGTAAAAGAACACTGGATGAAATTTTTGGTCTGCTTGTTTTTGGAGTAATATCCCACCATAACCACTAGAGCTTGCATCACAATGGATTTGGGTTTCAGCTGTAGGAGAATAGAGAGCTAAAACAGGTTTGGACATTAAAATTTGTTTTAAACTATAAAAACTTTTCATTTGTTCTCTTCCAAATTCAAATGAAACATTCTTTTTTAATAGATCATAAAGTGGCCCAGCAATTATTGAAAAGTTGGGAACAAATTTTCTAAAATATGAAGTAAAGCCTATGAAACTGTGTAACTGTTTAACATTTCGTGGTACTGGGTACTCTTTAATTGCACTAATATGTCTATCACTTGGCCTTATCTCATCACCATTAATTATGTAGCCTAAACGATTTATTTCAGTCATTAAAAAGGAGCATTTGTCAAGACGGAGATTCAATTTGTTTTGAACCAATAAGCAAAATATCTCTTTTAGAATATCTAAGTTCTCTTCAACAGTTTTTGTTGCTATTAATAAATCATCAATACATATTAGTAATTTGTTATGTTCCATTAAGTCCTTGAATATAGTATGAATGTATCGCATAAAAACAGATGGTGTATTGCGCAAACCAAATGGCATTTTCAAA